TTAACATTTCCATTTCTGGACGGGAAACAATATGGCTAAGTTTGGCAATGTTACGCAGATGGTAGAAACAGGAACGAACCAGAGACTTAATATGATTTTCCAGAGTAAAACAAGAGTCAAAAGTTAGACCAAGATTTCTAACCGAAGACTTAGCTAAATGACCAAGAGGTCCAAGGTTCTGCTTTATCACTGCAGTTGTTTTTTCTGGAGCAAAGATGATTACTTCAGTTTTCTCACTGTTCAGCTGCGTGCACAAGCTTTGCTGCAGTCGGAACATCCACTCCACAGACTGGGCCCCCTCGTGGTATTTTTAATAAATAATGAAAAGTTTTATTAATAACCTAATTAAACTGTGAAACTGATGTTCAATTTAGTTGTGTTCTTTTAATTATGTTTTTGAGTTTTTTAATAAAAATGCGCAATGACTTTGGACTTTTAGGGGTGGAGATTTGAGTTGCTGGATCCGAGCAAACAGTTGCCAGGAACGCACCCTGTCAAAATAAGCGAATTCCCGGATTTTGTTCCAGCAGAAACTGGCTCAGATCAAGCACTGCTTCAGCTGATCCAAAATGCTGCTGCCAGAGACTTAACTGGAGTTAGTGGGAGAGATCACATCTCTCCAGTTTTAGCTTCTCTTCATTGGCTCCCTGTCAAATCCAGAATAGATTTCAAAATCTTACTTCTAACCTACAAAGCTCTCAACAACCTAGCTCCATCTTATATTATAGATCTTATTGTTCCATATTTTCCTAACAGAGCACTTCACTCTCAGGCTGCAGGTTTACTTGTGGTTCCTAGAGTTTCCAAAAGCAGAATGGGAGGCAGATCTTTCAGTTCTCAGGCTCCTCTCTTGTGGAACCAACTTCCAGTTTCTGTCCATGAGGCTGACACATTATCCAGTTTTAAGACTGGACTTAAGACTTTCCTTTTTGCTAAATCCTATAACTAGGGTCGGCTTGTCATGCTGTTTTAAGCTTAGACTACTAGAGGCCACATTGACCTCATTTCCTTCAATGAATTGTTAAAATTGAATAGTTTCATTTGATATTATTTCTATCTTAACATGTGATTCTTGACCTGCCATTGTGTATCTGTTCCTATCAAACCAAGCCGGTCGAAGCAGATGTCCTCTTGTCCTGAGCCTGATTCTGCTAAAGGTTTCTTACTCATGAGGTAGTTTTTCCTTTCCACTGTTTCTTCATGCTTGCTCAAGATGAGAGCTAAACTCAAAGCAGTCTGCTCCTCAGATAAATCCATCCATCCATCCATTCTTTACCCGTTTATTCCATTTTGGGTCACAGGGGCGCTGGTGCCCATGTCCAGCAATCACTGTGCGAGGGGCGGGGTACACCCTGGACGGGTCGCAAGTCCATCACAGGGCCACATAGAGACAAACGAGACAAACAACCATTCACTCTCTCACTCACACCTAGGGACAATTTAGAATCACCAATCAGCCTAACATGCATGTTTTTGGACTGTGGGAGGAAACCGGAGCACCCGGAGAAAACCCACGCATACATGGAGAGAACATGCAAACTCCACCCAGAAAGGCCCCTGGACCGGGGTTTGAACCAAGGACCTTCTTGCTGAGAGGCAGCAGCTCTACCAGTTGCGCCACCGTGCTGCCCCCTCAGATAAATAGTAAGTGTTTTTAAGTTACTTTTATGTATATGAATGTTTCTGTTCAGTGCCTTGCGATGACTTCTGTTGTGACTTGGCGCTTTATAAATAAACTGGATTGAGTTTAACTGTGATGTGGGACCCACGGTTACCTGCAAGGATTGGTTGTAGAAAATCTGTAGAACGACTGGGTCTGCTGGCCCCATGCATAAACTACTGTACAATCAAGATTATGGCAAGATCATGAAAAAACTTTGGGATACTTAGGGATCAACTTTGGGACAAGTGGGATACCCCATGGTGTTACTGTCATCTTCTAGCATGTAGCATGCTTCTAGCACCCTGACACCCAGACGCACTGTTTAATGAGCGTGCAGGAGAGGATCTCAGGTAAGAGGGAAATAGCAGGAAATACATATTTAGCAAGTTTCAAGAGTGCTACTGCATCATAACTGAGTTCACTGTTGAAGTAAAGGTTTTCCAAATGTGCTGCCACCCAGCCACATTCCAATAGGTTGTGTAGTTCATGCCATGCTTCGAAGGGTTGCCATCTGGACTGAAGAGGACCTAACAGTGAAAAACTACTCTGAAATCACTAGCTAAAAATCACTTTTATGTCAGTCAGCCTCAACTTGAACATAAGTTCAAGGCTTCATGTTGGTGGCTGTACAATTCTAGGGCGATGTGACACAGAATCAACAGTGGAATCTGAAGACAAAAACTGTCTGAAAAAGGAACAGCACTTTGAAAACAATTAAAGACATGGAACCCACCTGGAGCTGCTCGTACGAGACGCTGACTGGTCCAGCTTTGTGTCGGGGACACAAACAAAGCTTGGAGCCTGGCGAGATTCATTCACTTGTGACCGCTATCACGAAAGATTTCAACTGCTTTACAAAGTCAAAATCTTTAGCAATAGAAACAGTGCCAGTAAAAATCTAATCTATGGGTTTTGTGGTGTGAAAACTTTGTTCAGGATTACAAAAAGTAAAATTAGGATTTAACAGAAGAGGGACTGTCTTGAGTTTGAGTTTGGTTTGTTCAGTGTTTTAAATGTTTTGGTTGGTTTAGACCAGGGGTGTCAAACCCACTTACAAAAGGGGGCCAAAATTAAAACCTTTTTCAAACTAAGGGCCGGTTTCAGAATCTACATTAACTCAAGTCAGATACTCGACATCTGTTCTTGGTTGCAGGTTCCTCAACAAGAGTTTGATTGGTCTCATTTGACGCCCTCTGTTGCACTTTTGACATCATAATCAAAGATTATTGAAAAAATTAAAGTGAAAAAAGTATTTTGCATTTAAAATATCATCTTGGGGGCCAGATAAGATGTCAACAAGGGCCACATTTGGCCCCCGGGCCTTGAGTTTGACACAAATGGTTTAGAGTTTCATTAGTATTTGGACTTAAGCTAATAAAATGTAAAACTAACTCACTTGGTTATAATGAACAGATATCTGATTTTAACCATTTGGGTAACAATTTATCTTTTCCACCAAGTTGTTTAAAAGTTGTGGTCATTTTATTTTTTAAATTTCACTTTTTGTTCTCTGAGATTAGCTGATAATCATGATGAATCTGATGGAAAAGAGCATTTGTCACATGAAATGTGTGAGCAGGGCAGTCGGTCATTCCATCCAGCTTTTAGCACAAGAAGAGGTTGCTGCTGAATGGTGGCCGTAGAACAACGCCGTGCACATTCAATGGAAATCTTGAAATATGTCCAGGGTTAGTGTTAGCATTAGCACACCAGCCACTGCAGCAAGCTAGAAGAATGTCTCACGAGTCTTTGCTTTAAACGTAGAGAAAATTGTTCTGGAAATGTTTATGATCTGTTTGCAGAGCTTTGACAAGTAGTGATCAGTTAGGCCCCTTTCACGCTGGAGGACCACTGCACCAAACATTACCAATGATCCACAACACAAACGGTCTTTGCAGGGACTTGGAGAAGTCCTGTGGAGGGAACTAAGAACACAGAGGGCTCTGCATTGGTCCTGCGTGGACCGTGGGGGAGTCAGCGCCACAGAAACAGTCAATGAAACAGCCTAGTGCAGAAGTGATACCGTGGCTGCACCTTGCTGTGGTCTGAGATGGCTGTGCCATGTGAGTAAACAGAACGTAGTAAGGGAACAGGACAGTCTTATAGGGATTTGGAAAATAGCAGGGAATGACCTAAATGGCAATTACCAAGAGCACCATTGAGTCCTGGAGGCTCAGTGGGATTATCTGTCTAAATAAAGGTTGAATGAATCATCATGATTGCAGATTAAGTTTTCTAAATTATCCCTGATCTAGCCACGTTGTAATAGACTGTACAGGTCATGGAGAGCAAAGTGTGAAAGGAGACCAGTAAGCATTAAATGGAGTAGCTTCTTTTAGTTCTCAATATTAGTGTTGCTCAGTTCATTGCTTTAATTTTGCAGAGCACGACAAACTGCCGGTATGTGACCTGTTGCCATGTTTTTGAGTATTACTGATGAGATGAGTGATGAATAGACTCAGCACTAGTTCAGGGTTTAGAGTATCTTCTTTAAATTGAGCTACAAATAATTATTTTCTTTGTGCTTGCTGCAAACTACAATAAAAACTCTGAATGTTAAGTTGGCATATCATTTAATGCAAGATAAACCATTTTTAAAGCACATAATTAAATCCAGTTTAAATTGCCTTTTTTAAGTGACCACACTAAACTGCCTCTGTTTCAGTCTGATATCTGTAGAGGGCAGCGTGCACTTTGTTTTTGTCTTGTTCTGTGGCACACATTTAACAAAGCAGTATGCATTTTCCTTAAAAACTTGGTTTTAAACATTTTTATTTTGTACTGTAGTGACTAAAGCAAAGTGTCTGCACAGCATCAGGCTGCTGAGTGAATCCCTCTGAAGTGCTGACTGCGCTCAACGAGGACAGATCCTCCCTCCTTCACACGCAGCATTCTCATGTTCTTACTTATGTTGATTCGAACCAGGATGAATAATTGATCAGAGACTTAACCCTGGAAATCACTGTTGCCATAGCAGCGCCTCACACTTTCCAAGAGATGTCTGATCATTTACATTTGGGGCTGCTGGGAGAAGGAGGCCCAGATCAGAGCTGCTGTCTGATCGTCTGTCTGTCCGTCTGATCGTCTGTCTGACTGACTGACTGTCTGTCTGTCTGATCGTCTGTCTGACTGACTGACTGTCTG